AATCGAAAGGCGACATATAAAAAATGCACGCAAGGAAGAAATGTCTGACAACACCAGCAAAGTTTTGAGACGATTTTGCGACGACTGCTAGAAAGGGGTGCTCACAGTTTGATGCTAAAGATGTCTCAAAATGTAGCCGTCTACATTTTCAGACACAATTTGGAACGAACTGTGAACACCCCAAATAACATGAACCAAAAATACAAGATCACGCAGGCAGGAGAGTAGCCCGTTAGATTCGCATTAAGGAAAGAAGTTTAACGATTTACATTTCTTCGTTGTTTACAATTTGGTGGTGATTTTTTACTGCAATTTTCTTCATTTTCGCCTGTGACTAAATATATGTACCTAAATGAGACAGATTGTATCTAAAAAAAGTTACATAATTCATTTGTAGTTTTTTCTTTTATAAATTTTATTTAAAACATGACTACAAAAGATGCATGCACTTTAAACACGATTAGGTTTTTTCTTTCAACTGAGCCTATATCTATAGACTATAGTCTAATGGGAACCGGAGAAGCGTTGTTTTTGTCTAACTTTGACTACTGAAAAATATGGTGAAAAAGACAAAAAAACACGCTTTGCGAAGTATACTTCTTTATCCAGCAACAACACGAAAAGTCTGCTAATTTATCCGATTCTTTTTAATAGGTGCAACAAGTCTAGAGAAAATAATCAAATTGCCGTAAGTAACTTCGAAAGCATTTTAAATATATTTCCAGAAATCATAAAGCGAATATGGGTCAATAATAATAATTGTACCTAAAATCTACTGCCTGTACTTAATGTACCTTTAAGTCATCAAACGTCGGAAAAAGGTACAATTGAACCTACTTTTTCATCCCTGCTACGTACATATAATGGAAATATTCAATTCAAATACGCCCGTATTAAAATTAAACATTTTTACTACACGGATGGCGTTTTGCACATCTCGGATGCTTTTTCATATGTAATTAAGAAAGTATATGTATACAAAGCATGTACAGCGGTGACAACACATACACACATACATAAGTTGTGTTTTTTTTTTACAAATTATCCAGTAACTTGCCAGCAACTCTCCAGTAACTTTATTTCTAAGAATTCGCTCTCATAGAAAAAATTTGCAAAAAAGTACGCGAACGCTTTTCCAGTAATAATTTGCAAGTTTCATGAACAGCTGATAAATTGGTTGTTCATTCGCAGCAAATTCCTAATAACACAATATATTTTCTATTTAAATAGGTTTATTTTTAGAAACTCAAGAATAAAAACCCACAAACAGTTTCCTTAATAGTTTAAATTTCATCCAGCAACATGCGATCAGCTGTTTTTCGTACTGGAAAATTCTTACAAATAAAAATTTATCCAGTAAAATCCAGTAAAAACTTGCAACTTCAACTGTCATTTTTCGCTCTCTCAATTTCCCCTACTTTGCGAGTTTTTGCGTACGGAAACGCCAAAACATGAAAATTCGTAAAAACTTTTACTGGATTTTACTGGAAATGAGTAAACAAACGCAATTATAGTATGACATAATGCACTAATCTCGCGCTGTGATGTTGATTCAAACTCAACATTTGAAAACACCTTTGCATGTATGGCTGTAGCTGAGTATGCAAAGACGCTTGATACAATTCGTTGCAGCCGAGAGGGTCCGGGTTGAATTACCATCTGACGGAACATAAAATTAGTTTTTTTTTTCCTAATTACGAAAAATCATCTGTGCACTTCACAACCACATATTTGATAACGTACATACTCAAATTTAAAACGAGTTGGATTGTTGCTCTTTCATATGAGTATATTTTTTCAATTAGGCACGTTTCTTTTTAATTCTAACGTTTTTTCCTTCAGTGTTGGAATGTGAGTTTATGACATTCGATACGATACTAGGAAAACCGCACAACCCTAACGGCGTCGTCCCTGTGGACCGACCCCATAGAGGCTGCACCAAGGCGAATTTATACAAGGTGGTGTTGATGGCGAATTTAGATTTTCGCCGAGGAACGTCTTAATGTCAAAATGATGTGTTTGTTGTAAAATGAATACGCCTTGTTTACAACAAACACATCATTTTGACATTCAGTAGTACCGCGGCGAAAATTTGATTCGCCATCAACACCACCTTGTATAAATTCGCCTTGGGCTACACGCTTCTTGGGGTTGCCGTTAGTGGAACTCGACGACGACTGAGATATCAGCCGATCTGGGCGGGGTTGTTGTAGCCGCTACAACAACAACAGGGTTCTGGTACTCGATTCCAAAAAATATCGTTTTAAAACTATCGAGTAGAAAATATCGGTATCGAATGCCAAAAGTATCGATATGGTATCGTATCGTATCGAAATTCGTGTCGCTAGTTATCAGCAGGTAAAACATGATCCAAATTTTTTTTTATACTGTAGTTATGAAATAATCGTTTTTAAAAACAGGAAATGTTAAAGATTAGGAACCCGATATATACGCAGTGGAGATGGAAAAGCCAACGATGGGTGCGTTGAGACAATCGGCAAAAATAGTTTTCATTTGAGTTTTAATTTCTTGACAGGCGGTGCAGAAACTCAAAAAGACTAACACACAGCGGGCCCTGGAAAGCTTTGATGACTTTTATGGCTCAGTTTTTGGTATCCGATGGAGAAATATACGAGCAGCGTTGCTAACACAACATAAATATATTGCATTAGTAAACAACTTTGGCGATACGGACAACACCTGCAATGGAATGGAACTGAATGGTCAAGAGTGCTCAATTGACATTTTTGCAGCAATAAAATATTTATCTTACAGGCGCCTTGAATGTAAAGTCTTTGATAAACTTGGCAAGATATCGACTTGAACACTGTGATGCATCGCCTACAAAAAATGCAAGTAACAAGTTGGATAAAACGCTAGATGAATTGCTACGCAAGCAGGAAGAACGTGAAAGACATTCGCTATATCCCAAGGGTACAGCCGAGGCACCAACATCAGTACCAAATCGATTGCAGTACCGCGAAGAGGATGCCGGTGGGAATGAAGGCCTTTCAGAAATTGAATGCAACACTGGAAAATTCGAACCAAGTCTTGAGGAAGCGATTGAAACGAACACACAAATAGATCAAAGTCGCCTAATTGATCCCCAATACAGTACGGGTGCCTTATATGAATTCATGCCTGCTAGTAGAATAAAAGGAATGGAAGATTGGATACCTGAATCTGACCATTATAAATACTATCAAACGCAAGCAGATTTTCCACTGAAATTTGAGGCCGAAACAGAATTTTTCTACCCAGAGAATCTTAATCTTTACACCTACGAACTAGGCAATTGTTCAGAGTTCAAAAGCCCAAGAAAATGTCTAACAGGTGATTTACATTGAATCAAAAGATTGTTACATTAAGTTATTATTTACTTAATTATTAAGGTGTACTTTCACATTATCTAATGGATGGTGCGTCAATATTGCCACCATTGTTTTTGGATATCAAACAAGGCGATCGCGTTTTGGATGCCTGTGCTGCTCCTGGCGGGAAATCACTTGTAATGCTACAAACACTCTTCCCAGACATTTTAGTATGTAATGATATTCAAGAATCACGTATCAATCGTATTCGGAAAGTGATGCAAGAATATCTTTTTGATTTCAAAGAAAATTGGGAGAATAACCGTGTTGCACTTAGTCAATGTGATGCGCGGTTCTTAGATGTTTACGAGAGTTATGACAAAATTCTTGTAGACGTACCTTGTACCACAGACCGCCATTCTTTGTTGGAGAATGATAACAATATTTTTAAAACAACTCGTATCAAGGAACGTTTACGCATACCTGAACTGCAAGCTAATATTTTGTCAAATTGCTTACGGCTCCTTAAGCCGGGCGGTAGCTTAGTTTATTCAACATGTGCTCTTTCACCTGTTCAAAATGATGGTGTTGTGCACATGGCACTACAGAAGGTATTCAACGAGCACGGTATAACGGCGACAGTAAAGGATCTGAGTTATTTAATTCGATTGTTCGAGGATATATTTAGATTTGAGCAGTCAAAGAATATGAAGTATGGACAAATGGTACTACCCTATCTGCCAGCGAACTTTGGGCCAATGTACTTCAGCAAATTAACAAGGAACACTTAAATGATAAAATATTTTATTTATTAATTTCCGAACTAGATAATATTAATAAAGGAAGATAACAAAAGGATAATCAGACCTTTTTCTTCTTTTTTGGTTTTGACGGCAATGGGCCGGGTATCTTGAAAACCGTGCTGTAAAGAGTTAAGAAAATTGTACGTTTGTTAGTAGTTTTGAATTTTGGCAATTGTATAGATCGACTTATTAAGTGCCTAAGCGAGATTTATACATATTAAAAATTTTGCATTGTTCAACTTTTTTTTTGAATGCGGGATTTGAATGAAGCAAACGGACTTTCAACAAATCGCTTTCAATGAAATGGCCTGCAGACACCTTTCGTTCAACTTTTGATTTAACTAAATGCTTGTGAAAGTTGAACAATGCAAACACACTTTAATTTGCTTTTGAGATATGCACATCGTCGTTTAAAATACAAAACCGCGTATCGTCATTCTGCAAAACCGCGTAACTGACATTGGCTGCCAAAAATTGGATTTGCTCACACAAACTCTTGGCTCAATCCTTATCCATTCGCGCTGAAACATACTATCCAGAAATGCGATTGCTTTATAAAATAGAGAAGCAATTTGAAATACGAGTGTTTTTACGCACTAGAAAATAATTTATACAACTTCACTTACGCGGGATTGCATTTTGCTGACAAGCGGTTTTGGATTTTGCTGATACGCGGTTTTGCTCTTTAAACGATGATATATGTACATAAGTATGAAAATTCTCAAAAGTGAAAAGTCGGAAAACTTACTGGCATGTTGTGCATATGGGACTGAACTTGCAAAATACTGAAAGAATATTTTTTTTTTAATTAAATAGGCTAATACAATATATTCAGGCAGGTCCTGCAATTCACTTCCGAGTGAATTCAATCCGAATTCGTTTGAAATTCACTCGGAAGTGAATTACAGAACCTGCCTGATTGGTTTTAACATGTGCAAGACTTACTTGATAAGCACACCGAACAAACGTAGCCAATATCAATTAATTCACGATGGCAAAAACATGCGGCCCTATAGTCCACCTTCGTCGCAGGAGGTAGGACCAACTTTTGACGCATTTGTGGATCGGGTAGGAAAACCCACAGTAAATATTGCAGCAAACCATCCAGCTGGGTTAGACGTAGATATTGACCACCTGTAATGTCGCAGCCCTGTTGTAATAGACTCATAGTCTTATCCAATGCACAAACATCAACAGTAATGCCTAATTTTTGTGCCGTAAAGAAAACGTTCATGTATGTCATGTACTGAGAGGCGCATTCGTTACTGCCTGTAACAACTAAAATACGTGAATGCATTTTAACACCTGCGGCGGCACTACGTTGTATCTGTGGAACCGATTGAAAGCATTTGTTATTTATAATGACAATCAAAAACGTTACTGGGCACCTACTCTAGATATATAGCATAGAGCCATTGCCATGCTGCCTGCTAAGAGACTCTCACAAGGCGCATTAACTTTCGGAGCATTGGTTATAATATGGCTTAAACGTTGCTTTACAGTCTTCTCTACTAAACTGAAGACCTCGTATTGTCCATCAACCTGACGAATATCCAACTGCTTTCCTGGCATAGGATATAAGAAGTCTCTGAAATAAACATGTAGAATTAGTTCAAAACATTACTACACTTCAATGTTGTAAATACGTGGCATGATGATGACAAGAAAGGACAGCTAGTTTATTTTGGGAGCATTGCATCAGATGTGCATTGCCAAAAGCAATAATAGCATCCAAGAATTGAGTTAGCAACTGCGGGTTTTGTCGCACAATACGTTGGGATGGATTTGTGTCCAATACAATAGCTAACAAACTGAATTTATTTGATTCTGGAGAAGTAAACATTAATAGCGCAATATCAATTGACAACTTATATTTGCTTACCATCCTCATCCGTTTTATCCATTTTTGAGAGAAATATATTACTTATTTTTTAATTAACAAACGACACAACACAATACCGGTGCTTAGGAATGCAAACGATGCATCGATGTTTTCAAAACATCGATGTTTCGTCCAAAAATATCGATGTTAACATTGATGTTTTGCTGGACGATAAATCGTCGATACAGCGACTAGAAAAGTGAAAAACATCGATATCGTTCATTCACTCCGTTCGTATTATGCCGAACGACCAGTGGCAAGCAAGCGTTTGTTCTAGGAAGCTGGTGCAACCATAATTCAGGATAGAAGCTGGGCTCGAATCGTAAAGGCCGGTCCACATAGATCTTTCGCGTTTGCCTTGGCGTTGGCCTTGGTTTGACAGAACGCACGTTAAAAGTATGCTTGCTACAATGAACGCTTGACAGCGAATGCTTGAGCCACAAAATTAACATACTAACGACAGATAACGATATTTCTTGCCTGCACTTGATTAAAAAGGAAAAATATTTCACATAATTTATTTATTTGCAAAAGCTGACGAGCGACGCCCGCCAAAAGTTGAGAGTTGGCCATCTTTTTGCTTTGTGCTGGCGTGAGCGTTGTCGAATTTTGGCTATGTGGGCGGTTGCATTTGAATTCATGTGTTCATAGTCAGCTGTTGAAGCGAGGCCAACGCCAACGCAACGCTAAAGTTCTATGTGGACATCCGTTCACGGATCGAAAACCATACGAAAAAAATACGTGATACCGTCAGTCGAATAAGTGAATGGGGTAAAGAGTACGTTCACGTATGTCATAATCCGAAAAATATGTTTTTAAGTGACGAGTATTACGCACGTATTATTTGCAAATAACAATTTGCAAAATGGTAATGTTGAGGAATGCGAAATAGTAATATGGCAACCCTGATCTAAAATGTCAAAGCACTATAATTGAGATGACAGACTAGCACGTTGCTCTTTTTCTGATTTACATTTTGCACAAGTCGATCGTAATAAGCTGAATTAATTAAACACTTTAATTGAATTGTATTTGGTATAGCATTTCCTTATTATTTCCTTTTTATAAAGAAAAAATTTACCCGGCAATATATAGAAATATGAGTACTTTAATTAGTTAACCTTGTGTCCGGTGCAGGATTGTGGATTTAGCAAGCCGGGAAGTCACGGGTTCGAATCCCACTGCCAGGGAAATTTTTTTTACATCTGTTTTTGTTCTATTAAATATTACTTAAATTTTTGTTATTTAATTATAGTTGTTGTGGCCTTTTACATTAAAATTAAACTCCAAAAAAATTTGATAAATAACGAAATTTTTATATCAAATACCATAAACAAAACAAGATAATAAAACTAAATTTAATAAAATAAAATAAGATAATGTTTATGTTAAAAAAAAATATAAAATAAAAAAAAATTGTTTGGAATCGCTCGGAGTGGGGACCAGTATTGCGTTTACTACTTCAACAACAAAACACTACTACTTCAACAACTTAGAACCTTATTTTACCATTTTAAACCGCGTTCTCCTCATTTTAAAGTTAAAATTCTGTTTTTGCCATAAAATGCATTTTAAGTTGACTATGAAAGAGTTAAAATGGTGATTACAATAAAACACAATTTTAATCATTAAAACCTTTTTCTAACTTCTCTATGACTACGGGCCACTGAGTCTAGTAAATTCGTTGATATTCTGAAAATGAGGAGTATTGGATAAAACTCTGTAAATTCAACAGACGACTTCTCGGTGACAAATAAAGAATTTCGGAGGGGAGGAGTAATACTTTCAGATAATGAGATTATCTTTCTGAAAAAAATTTTTTCATCGTGTTACAGGAGCTCAAATGT